TCTCTCTCTCTCTCTTTTCTTTTTCTTTTCGTTGCTCTCGTTCACCGCTAAGTACGTGTCTCCCTTTTTTTTGTTTTCTTTCTCATAATATCATTTCGTTTTTAATTATTTGTCTCTCCTACTCTCGTTGAGTTGAAATAATTTTTTTTCTATATATATATATATATTTTTTTTTGTGTTTGTTTCTCTTTATATCAAACGATGACAAAGTACTTTGTTTAATACGTAAAGATTAATATTAAGATGAACCCGTTTATTGTGTTGAAATTTTACTTTGTATATGCATATAAAAGATTGTTTTTGTAATATTTAATTTGGAAATATTAATGAAAAAATGCACGAACATTTTTATTCATCCTCAATAGTAATAAATGTTACGGGAATGAAACAAAATTCGAGTACGGTTTTATTTTTGTTCACACTCGAAAGAAAGAAGATGATGATGATGATGATGATGATGATGATGATGATGAAGGAATAATTTTACATTAGTGAACTTGAATATATATTGCCAAAGAACGAAGATAGTGATAATTTATTAAACGTTTATTCCCGAACAACGTAAAAACATAACGGTTGTGTGATACGAACAAAGAGAATGCGATACCGATGGTAATTCAGTTGGAATAATTTTTTGTCATAAATTCTCATACGATTTATTTATTCGTAATATTCGTTACATGTATATATCGTTTTTTTAGGATAACTTTTTTAAACGTTCTCATTATTTCGTTTGATCGAACCCCGGTAATGGTGTTTTTCTTTTCTTTTCCATATAACCCGGTGTTTTTATTTTATAGAACAAAATATTCTCGTCGATGTTTGTCGTTAATTCGTTAAACAAAAAAAATTATACTCCAATTGTCATATTAAATGAAAATTTAATTAGCAAGTTTTTCAAACGTACAAAGAAACTCGTACAAAATGAAACCAACATAATATAATTTTGTCTTAATTTTATATATTTTTATTTCATTCACATATTATACACGGATCAATTCTGAATTAAAAAAAAACGAAATAATATTAAATAAAAAGAAAAGAGTAAACGTATAATCCAAAGATCGAATATAAAATCAAATTATAATTCAATCTTAATATTTGTTCCTTTATTTATATAAAACCATTGGATATAATTAATAAAATGGAATAATATAAATCGATAGGTTTAAAGATATTATATAAATCGTTTAATCGAAAAAATGTTTGATCGCTAAGAGATAAAAATATTTCGAAGTATTTCGAGACGATAGAAAGAAAAAGAAAAACGAAAAAAGGAAACGAGAGAAGTGAGTGAGTGAGAGAAGAAAAAAAAAAATACAGAAAAGAAAATAAAGAAAACAAGTATATACCCGGAGTTTTTCTAAAGTGAGAATTTAATAAAGAGTGACGATAAAGAAAACGAAAACGAGACAGAAAGAGAGAGAGAGAGAAAAAGAGAGAAATAAACATTTCTAGTGGAAAAATAAAAGCCCTAGTGAAAGATAAAAAAAAAAAAA